TAATGACTAGCAAGAAAGGCTAAGACAATCGGTGACAAGGTCCACAAGTCACCTGTCATTAAGCTACCTGGTGTGTGGTTAAGTCACAACAAAGGCCACTGGAAGCTACCATGACTAATTTCTGCCTTTGCTGTAACATCTAGCTGTGACAGGGAGTCTTCAGGAATCTGTGGTATATGTCTACCTAGCCTCTGCCCCTGCTACCAGCCCAGAGCTGGGCCACCATCTGCCTGATGCTATAGGCAAGCTTTGAACCGGGTCTTTAATCAAGGGGATGGTAAGCTTGGGTCAGCTCAGCCACGGGGAGAGAGGAGGATGGCACAGAGAGGAAGTGGCACTTACAAATGAACCTGAGGGTCAGACCCAGGCTGGTTGCTTCATGTCCACATGCCCTGTAAATGCACAAATACTGAGGCAGATGCAACTCCAGGCTACCTCTTACATGGCCTTCCTGAAATATGACCTTGGATCCTCAGTGGGGATACTGGGCCCAGTGTCCCCGCCTCTCTAAGTCTCCAGTCATGGTCTGGATATTTGCATCTAACTGAACCAAAGTATTTGGGGTGCCCAAATACTTCCAAACAATCCCCTCACAAACCTTTTCTTGCTTCCATCAAGAGGCCATGTTAATTAAAACCCTGACAAACTTGAGGATGAGCCTGAGTTTTGATTGTTTGTCGGGAGCAATACGGAGGCACCAAAAATTTAAGACAGCTTAGCTCAGGGGATGAACCAACAAGGGACTTCCCCTTGAACCCACAACGGTTACTGTTTCTGTCTCTGCTCATCTTGGTGTCTTGTAGGTAGGGAGAGCTGTTTCTTGATAAAGAACTTTTGATTCTTGACATCTGTGTTTCCTTTAAGACAAACTGTTAGTGGTTGGAGAGATGGCTCAGAGGTTAAGGCTCCTCACGGTCTACAAATATTGTAAATCCAACTTAACTCAAGGTCATTATGGGAAACTGGGTTGCCCCGCCCCCTCCTGGACATGCTCACTGTTTGCAAAAGGCTGCAAGCCTCCTCCTGCCCTTCACACTGGGGGAATCTCTCCTAGATTCAGGCAGGGAGCACTCCCAGTGTCAGACTCTACTTTCACCAATGCTGCTGCTGCTGGTGGCTACCTCTTTGCTAGCCTCCCAGACTCCTGGGCCACCCCCAGTCCCCAGTTCACACCTGTCCCCAACCAAACTCCCACCCCCATAACACTCAGCCCTTCTGTCGACAAGCCCACTGGGCCTTAAATACTCCTGGCTCTGGGGATGGTCCCAAGGTCCATGCACTGGCCCCAGATGCACTCAGGCAAGAGGGTCCAAGTCCACATTCCCATGGGATAGCTGGAAAAAGCTTGCTGAGTGCAGTGGCTCCACGAACTTCAGATAGTTGCGATTCCAGGGAGCCCTGAGGGAAGGGGTTATCCTGCCAGCCAAGTGAATGGCACTGGGAGTTTCCTAGGCCTCCCTGGATTTTGTTTCAGGTGACCCTGCCACCAATTAAAGGCCTATTTCTTCTCATCAGCCTAGGCTTGTTTCCTGGAAAAGTTTGTCCTTTCCAAGGTAGGTGGGGTTGTGTCTTCCAGGGTATGAACCTGTCTGATCCACTCTGCACTGTTAGCCCCCGCACCCCCCCCCAAGCGCCTTTTCCTTCACTTTAGGATTTGTTTACAGTCGGTCAAGTTTTTCCAGATTAACAAAGCCTTCCTCATAAAGCTACTGCAGTCAAGTACAAGAACAGGGAACCAACAGCAGGGCCAGGGCCAGCTGGGAGATTCAGATGGACTGGGACATAGACAGCCAACTAGTGTCAGCATAAGCAACTGTCACCAAGTATCCCTTCCACGAGGGTCCCCTTTTCTGCCTTCCACGAGGACACACCCTCCCCAAGAGAAACTGCTGCGAACAACTTTTACTTCAGTGAGTCCAGGGGTTAAAAACGCCCCCTTCTAAAGGCAAAGTTAAGCAGCTGTCCAAACCACCCAAGGAGATTCAGGATCCCTGGACAGCTGGACGACCCCCGCCCCAGCTGTGCTAGGACAGCCCGGCCAGGGAAGAGTTAATGGGCAATCAACTTTGGCTGGCAGTTCAGACTCCAAAGTTCAGTCCCAGCCACTGAAGGAATTGTAAATCTCAGGGCAGTATTTAACAAAACAAAAGCAACCTGGAATTACATGAAGGTTTGGCTTTCCACAGAGCTTAGTTCCTCTAATCCCCAAGGTATGCAGCTCCATGTCAGATCAGCTGGCTTGCCTGGTCCTCCTGCCCCCTCCTTAGCAACAGTTTAAATTTCAAACTAATTCCCTAGTTTGTTCTTCGTCTTCGCGGGCCGGCTGGAGACAGCTCGGCCTGCCGGTCTCAAATCCCTCTCCATTGCTCTTGCCACTGGGTGGGTCAGCCGAGTCTGCAGTTTCAAATTGGGTGACAGCTGGCTCTCCCTCCAATACTCTCCTGCACGTCTCCAAAACCTGGGAGCAAAGGGAGCTGCAGCCACCCACACTGCGAGAGACAGTGGACAGTGGGGGCATAGTGCCACCTCCTAATCCAGTGGGGGATCCCCTCTGCTGAGGTGGGCCAGAGGATCAAGGTTCAAGGTGAGGACAAGGGCTCTTTATCAGCGCTGGCTGCCCCCGCACTTCTCTTTCCGGATTTTAAACACCTGGGCCTCCCAGTCTTTCCGGCGGGCTAGACCATCCAAGTCAACTCCTTCTTCAAACCCAAGCCGAGCACCCCTTCTCACGTCCCTGCCGAGCTGCAGCCGCCCAGGTTTGGACTCGGCAGCGAGTTGCCAAGCAAAATACCAAGCGCAACCTAGCAGTCAGGGTTTCCAGCTCTACCCAGGGGCGCGCACACCCCGCGCTCAGCGTGGTGCCCGCAAAGAGGGGGAGGGTGGGGGGCACAACACCTTAGAGATGAAGTCAGGAGGAAGGATGGGTGGGTGTCCTAAGTCTGGGGGTGGATGGGGGTAAATAGCCAGCC